AGAAAATTCCAATTTCTGTTTATATTAGCTAAAGTTGATAAAGATATTGTAGCAGCTGATTTCTAAATAAGTTTAAAACTTTTAGTTGGCATTTATAATAAACAATTAATTGATGGGATAATTAACCTACCTATTCAAAGTAATTTAATAACAGTACTTTCTGATAACTCTATTAGTAATCTAGATAAAAACTCCGAATATACCAATTTGTGATAATACCCAAATTTAGTGAAATCAAATTTATCAGTATAAACATTGAAGGGTACTATTCGGTTTCGAGGGCCGTAAAAAATCGTCAAACTAATAATGCTGCCAAAAATAATTGCGGCAAGAAAGGAAGTATAATAGTAAATAACTATCTAAGATAGATGTTTTAATTTAGATGAAAGGTTAATTTCATATCATACATTTTTTTTATTATAATTTATATGGAAAAAGGCTAAACATGACTGAATGGAAGCATAAGAATAAATAACCATTTCAGATCATTATTATAATTTATATAAAAATTGCTAAACATAACTGAATGAATGCCTGCATCGCTATTTCACTACAGACTTATCGCTAAAGCACAATTTCATCTCTTGGTTGTTCAAACGTAATTTTCTATAATGAATGATGCCTTTTCTTTGAAAATATTCTCAGTAAAGTGCAGAATCGCTCACTTATTTGTTTGCCGCTTTTTACAAGGGTAAAAACAATTAGATTTTTGTCAATTTTCTTTTACTTTTTAAATGAAAATAGGTTGATGTGTACATAGATAAAGTCAAGGGTGCACACAGTGCCATTTTTGTGCAATTCTAGAATTTTTTTAAAGTGAAAATAGGTCAATGTGCACATGGATACTGAGTATGTGCAAGTCTTAAAAATGCATCAAGCAGTGGGTGATTCTGCAATTTACCCAAATTCTATTGAGACTTTTCGTCATGAGCAATTTCCAAATTGTTACATCCATAGGATATCAAAAAGGATTTAAAATCAAAAAAGGATTTAAAAATTAAACTAGCACTTCAATGATGTCTTAAGAAATATAGAATTATATAAACTTACGCAATATGAAATCAGAACGTACGCTAGATTTGGCGTGCTGTTAAATGGGCGCATTTGCTAGATTTGGCGCTTTTGCGCATACATTTTCGCTGCAATTTTTTTTTACGGCCCTCAAAATGGTATAGTACCCATTGAAGCACGATGTTGAGTATTTTATTACAAGAACAGGACAACCTGTTTATACCAAAGCTAGACAACTGGAATCCAAGTGACTACAAATAGCAAAACAGGAATTTCAATATGTTAGAAAAATGATATTATTCGTCCCTCTTAATCCCAATGAGACAGTCCTCTTTACATGGCTACTCAAAAAGATTTTTTTTTCCCCAATCATATGGAGACCACCGCCATTTGAATGCACAAACAATATCAGATCATTCCATATCCCGGTTAAAGGACTTCAACCCCATTTTAAAAAATACTCAAATATTTTCTAAAATTGAGATTTGTATGAAATATATTTCTGGATTCCTATTAATGAAAATGATAGGCCGACAACTGCCATTATAACCTCTTTTGACCTATATGAATTTAAGGATAAAAGTTTGGGGGTTTACGAAATGCACCTTCTACCTTTCAAAGATTTCTTAATGAGGTATTGAGAGGACTAAATTTTGTTTACCCATATTTGGATGATGTTTTGATTGCATCAAATACTGAAGAGGAACATGAAAAACACTTAAAATTAGTTTTTGATAGGTTGCAAAAATACAGATCGAGAATTAATATTTCTAAATCTGTTTTTAGAGCTAACAAATTGGAATTTTCAGCTTTCTAATTACACCTCATGAATCAAAACCCCTGCGTAAAAAGGTTAAAGCTATTCTTAATCTTAAATTACCTGACACTGTTCATTATCTATGAACCTTTCTCGGAATGGTTAATTTCTACAACTGTTTTTTGATAAAAGCTGCTAGTTCTCAAGCTATTTTACTAGAAAACTTAAAAGGCACAAAGAAAAGAGATAATCAGAAAACAACTTGGACAGATAAAGCCATTCAGCAGTTTGAAAAATGTAAAGAAGATTTAGCAAATGCTGCTCTTCTGACACCAGACTCAGAATTACCTTTTTCGCTGTGCACAGATGCTTCAGACAGGGCAGGAGGTTCAGTTTTACAAAAATTCAAAAATGGTAATTGGAAACCAGTCTGATTTTATTCCAAGAAGCTTAACCTCACACAGCAAAATTATCGTACATATTATTATAGTGAACTTCTTGCAATTTATCTTTCCATTTAATACTTCACATATTTTTTAGAAGGAAGAAAATTCACAGTGTATACTGAGCACAAGCCATGCATTTTCCCAAAAGCCTGATAGAGTATGTCCAAGGCAAATTCAGAAACTTCAAATATTTCTGAATTTACAACAGCTATTAAATACATTACAGGTAAGTATAACGTGGTAGCAGATACATTGTCGAGATTTGAAGAAATCACCTTAATTGATTATGATCAAACTGCCCAAGCACAAAAGTGAGATGATGAATTTGAGACATTCCAGAAATCTACTAATTTGACTTTTAAACTCTTTCCATTTGAAAAAAAAAAAAAAAAAAAAAAAAAAAAATGCTTTGATACGTCAACACAGCATATTTAACCTTATATACCTGAGAGTTATATGAAAATATTTCATCAGTTTCAAGGATTATCCCATCCTGGAATAAGATCAACAAAAAAACTAATATCTCCAAAATTTACTTGGTGAAATATCAAAAAAGATGTTCAGCTAATCTTGAATTCCATATCAAAAATCTAAAATATCCTGGCACACAAAATCAATATTTGGCGAATATCAGAAGCCACCAGAAAGATTTCGAGAAGTACATATGGTCCATTACCACCATCATATGGTAACACCTACTATCTGACATGTATAGATAAATACACCAATTGGATGGAAGCTATTTTGCTCTAAAACATCTTGGAAGATTCTGTAATGAAGGCTTTCTACAGCAATTAGATTGCAAGGTTTCGAATACCCTTGCATCTAATTACTGATCAAGGAACTCAATTTTCATCTGAAATATTTCAAACCCTGTCAAGAATCTGTGGCATTAAGCTTTTGCATTATCACCTGCAGCACTATGGCAAGGTAGAACAGCTTCACATATCAATAAAAGGCTGCTTTAATAGACCACAGCAGTATAACTTGGAGTGAAATATTACTAATTACTCTTAACATTACTCTTAGGCCTATGAACAGCAGCCTATGATGATGCATGCTAATTATAGAATTGCAGAGATGGTGTATGGAGGAAATATTAAACTTCATAGAGAATTCTTTGAAGCAAAAATAAATCATATACCACATGGAACTTTCTTTATAAATAAATTACAAAAGTATATGGAATTAATCCAGCCAAAGGAAACTCAACATATAGGTATCCCTAAATTATTTATACATAAAGATTTAGAATCAGCCTTTCACATTTTTCTTCGCATTGGAAGAAACTCAAACCACCAGAGGATCAATATTTTGTTATCAATTATTCAAAACAATATTTTACTCTCAGGATATAGAATAAAGTAAATGTATCAATAGACAGATTGAAGCCAGCATATATTCTACCGTAACAAAATCCTGAAAAAGAAAAATCTACAACTCCAAATTGTGTAAACAGTACATCAACATCAGCTGAGATTCAACCTAGAACAACTGTGGCTCAACCTAAAATTAAATCAGCTTTAAGACAACCCCAAACTTGTAAAATTCTTAAGACACCATTGCGGTTCCAAAACTGACATATATTTATATATTAATTTTATTATCATTTTCAGAATAGGCACCATTACTTGGTCCCAAACATTTTTAAGTTAATGATAGTTACTAGTAGGGAAGTAAATGTACCAGCATAAAATGTAAACATTCACTTTGCATATTACTATAATAATTTTCATTATGATTTCTTTTCATAATCCAATGTTTTATTTTAAAGAGAAGGTTTAGTTTTGCTACTAGAGTTGAAAAATGAAGGATTTGCTGCTAATATAGTAGTGCTGTTTGTAGTTCAGTAAAATACCATTAAGGCAATGAGTCTTTATCTGCACTTTATCACATTATCTCAACTAAAAACCAACAGATACACAGCATACAAAAATCTAGAACAGGGGTTCCCAACCAGGGGAAATTTCAGAGTTTCTAGGAGGAACATAGTCAGCCTATTATTCACTGTTACATTAGTTTATGAATATAAAAAACTATCTTTACTCAAGTTTTAATATTTATCACCATTTTCCACATTTTTCCTTGTTTAATTTATGAAAGACGTTAAAAAATAATTATTTAAGTTTAAATAAATTTATATGTATTTTTCAAGTTTTGGAAAGGAGAGAGGAGGATTGTTTAGCAGTGGATAAAAGGATTTAAGTTTTTTAAGTTTTATATTAAAAGAATAATAACATGCTGGATATTAATTATTAAGGAGTTCAGGTAACAGGAATCTGCAGCAATTTTTATAAATTTACAAGACTAGTTTCCAAGGTTTGACTGCAAGAGAGTAAATGACTAAAGAGAAGCCTATGCTCATGCTGAAGACGACAGACTAGAAAATTTGGGCAAGTTTCATCAAAAAATAAAAGCACAGCAACTAGTGCCATCTATCTACCAATGAAAAACGATTAGCAATCCCTCAAAATTACGTCATTTTGACAAGCCATATACACTCAATAACATACAAATTGTTGCACTAAAAAGTTATCCAAATGGTACGAAAATTCATATGCCCATACCTTATGAAATAATATGTACAAGATAAACTTTTGGCGGCCAATGACTGACCAGCTGGAGCTCCAGTGCATTGCAGCGGAGCATCCAGATGGTGTATAAAACAGAGGGCATTCCAATCGATTTTGTAGCCAAACATTTAAAACTACTGTTATCACTTATTCCTGTTACTCAAGCACTCTAACAATATTTTCCAATTAAAGCAAAAAAGAAACATTAATTACCTGGACGGATAATGTTAAAGGTTGAACACCCTGCAATGTACCTCGAACATATGGATCAAAATTGTCATCAAACATATACTGAGGCCTTAAAACATATCCGCACCTAATTAAATAGAAAAGGATTCAGTATATGAAAATAATTATTTATAAATTTAAAATAAAGCTATTTACATTTATACACATTAAAATTATTTAACACAGAATGATTAATCAGTGATTAATCAGCATGGCCGTTGCATCCCATTACAGAACATTACCATTGCATTTTATCATTCACTACTTGCTTATATGAATTAAACCAATGTTTTTAACCTTTAATGATAGGCACTTACATATGAATTCCAAATTCCTTATATATCAAATGGTTTCACATAAATAAATTTATTGCGACAAAAATCTTGGTATTTAAACTGTTATTGAATGAATCAAATTTAAACAAACATTGAAAGAATATCATAAACCGTTAGAGAAATTTAACTGCAGTGAAAAAAAATTAACTAATAGAATTTTTAGTACATGTATTTCATCTTTCATCTTTAACCGTAACATGGTAATGTCTCTTAAGATCGCTTAAATATACCACACATAAGTTTTACATATACAATATCTCTATATTTCTTAAAATTTCGTTCATTTTTCATTTAAATGAGAAAAGAAGAAAACAAAAGAAATGAAAATTTTTACATTTTTTAAAATTATAATGTCAAGCATTTATTAAATTCCAGAAAAATTACAAAAATTGTACACACTTTTGCAATGCATATGTATCAATCAGTTTACTACTGACTGGGTGAATGCTAAAATAGCTTACTGTCATCTTCACAAACAGCACTTTTTGGGTTGTTTTTAGAAATACTGAACAGAACATGACACATTCCCTCAGCATAGTCATAAAAGAGAACCTTTTTATTCATCTTCATATTATAAGAAATATAACAGTGATTTTGTTTTGTCATTTCTCAATTACCTGGCAATGGAATAAAAATATAAATTCATATTTCAGGTGTGATTTTTTCTGTTCTACTTTCAAAAATCATGGCATAGAATACATATTCAGCGATACTGTATGCATACTGCAAAAAGTGCAGAAAGATGCACTGCATATTGCAAAAAATGCAGAAATGTCAATAACTTAATTTATAACCAAAAACTATCTTAGTTGAATGCCTTTAGTCAGAAGAATCTATAGTTTCATAAGCAGAGTACAAATTCAGAAAGTTTCTTATTTTTTATTTAATTAATTCAATATTAATGCACCCTGGCAAACACAAAAAAGATACCATTATTTAAGAATGAGTATACCTGATCAGATTTAAAGAAAAATATTATCTCACAAAAAACATGTACAAATTAAACAATGAATAAAGAAAAACTGATTAACATTAGTACATCTGCCAAAAGAAATGAAAAATAAGTATAACTTAAAATATTAACTTATTTGTAATTATTATTATGTACAGTTATTAAATTTGCTGTCCTTTCACTGAAGCATTTATTTATGCAGATATTGGCAGATTTTGACTTCTTTGAATGCAGAGCACTTACTTCAGTAATGCTTCTTCAACACTCCGTTTCCAAGTTTATCCTCTTATCCAAAATTTTTACATGTGCAGAAAATATGGTTTCATTTTTTTTCTCTGGTATCAGCTGTAGATCTGGATAAACTGTATTCTAGAAGATACCAATTTGGCTGCAATCATTCTGTACTTTTTGAATAATGATTACATAATCTTCAGTGCAAAAGCTTCACATTTACAGTTTGCCATGTGGGTGAATTTTTATCACAGAAATGGAGTGCAATCAGTTTGGTCAAAAAAATATGTTGAAGCTCTACTCTTCTCAAAAAGATGAAAAAGGAAGATAATTTCATAACAAATGTGTCTTATCCAATGGAAACAATTATTTTCTAAAAAATAAGCATGACTGCAACACAAAGAACAATAACCTTTATGAAAATTATTTTATGTCTGGCAAAAGAACTAAAAAATGCAAAATCCCTATTTAGTAGACAGGACTTGGAGAGCATTTATAGTCAAACAAAACAAACCAATAAGGATAAAGAAAACTTCATTCCAAAAATGAAGAATCAACTGTAAAGCTGCAAGCTTATAAGTTTCACTATTTCCTCTTTACATCAACAGTGAAATTTTCAGAATTCCCATCATAGCATCAGCCTTGAACAGAGTTCTGTCTGGTAGCTCAATCAAAGAGTTTGAATGAAATCAGAGAAACCATTCATGCTTTTGAATTCAATGGTTATGGACACTATATGATGTCCTCAGATATGCTTATTGTATTCTCATTCTCCAAGAGATGGGTGTCACCCTGTTTCTCAGAGCCTTTGTTTAGAACTGAGAAAAAAGCGGGATGTGAAGATAAAAGAAAAGTAATGTAAAGGTGTTTTCCTTTAATGGATAGAATGTGGTGGGAATTTGGACCCTAATATCCTAAACATGCATGATTTCAACAATTTCTAATTTTTTCATGCAGAAATTCAAGAAAAAATTTTAAAACTACCCCCAAAAAATATATATACAGTTCATTATATCCAATTTTCCATCTTGGAGGTTTTCTATAACAATCTGAAATAAATTAAATGTATAGGAAACAGTATGGGACCAAAAGGTTCATTTATTACACATGGGGTCTGAATGTATCTACTTTTACACAGCCCAAAAGCCATATACAAGTGTAAATGTGGCCCTTATCCTAAAATATTTAACTACCTCTGCTGAGCTGCAAGCTTCATGTATTTTCCACAAAATCTGTGTCAAAGTTAAGTGATATATAAGGAAATGGAATGTTATTCATATATACTGGGAAAGGAAATAAATTCCAATAAAATTAACTATAAAATAACTTTATTATTAATTTTATATTATAAATATTTATGTTCATGTACATTATTTAAATAAAATTACTAATTATTTTCAGAAATAAAAACACATATCCACTTTCCTAATTGTACACACATAACTCCAGTTTCTTTACTAGTACACACTTGTTCTCAGATATAACATTTGTTTTTAAGTAAAGACAAAAATGTTTACAAGATTTTTAATTTAAATTTCATTAATAGAAGACCACTAATCAAAATGAACATTTTTTTCTTTTGTCAAATGAACTTGCTTGAAGAAGAAATGTTACTCCAAATTAGAACTGTAAGGAGATAAATATTTAAACAATTTTTTACAATTCTTCATAACCTTCAACAGTTTTACAACTCTGAATACAATGGAACCTCAAAAATGAATATATATCATCACAAACAAATTATCTGAACAGATAACCTCTCAAATGACGAATGATGTCTCAACATACAAACACCTGTCAACAAATAATTTTCACAAGAATTCTCTACAGCCTCTGACACAGGATTAATTCCCAGGGTCTTCCAATTAAAAAAAAAATTTTTTTTTCTCCTTCAAAGCCTGTCAGAAAGTGACTTACAGGATCATGAAACTGGCCTGGAGGAAATTATGGTGAGACTGTATTGCAAGCAGACTGTAGGCAAAGGCATGGGCTTAAAGATAAACAAATAAGATGTGGAAGAATTACTGAAGGCCATCAAAATGAGCTCATAAGGAAAAAATATGAAAAACTTCAGAAGCCACAACATAAGCAACTGTAGAGAAAATGTCTTCAAAGGATGGGAGATATAATCTTGAGTTTTGATACTGTATCACTAAGCAAAGCCACGGGTTTAGAAATTAGCAAAGATGTGAAGGAATTATCATATGATTATAAAAATTAGCTCAAGGAGAGCAATACAAATAACTTCAGAAGCAGCAATGAAAGGCAATTGTAGAGGAAATGAATTCAAAGAAAGATTGTGTGAGGAGAGATTATTCTGGTTTTTTGATTCACAAAATTTGAGGAAAGTGAAAAGTTTTCATGTAACAGTATCTCCCTGATAAAGTAGTATCAAGCAGCAGTGCAAGTATTTTCAATGACAATGTCACTTCAGAAGCAACTCAAAACCTACACAATAAAAAATAACATTGGATAAATTGTGAGTGAAATGGAAGCTCGATGAATCACAAGTGCAACTAAAGAGTCCTAAGTGACAAAGAACAGATAAAAATGGTACACCAGAGAGGATGATTTTATGGAAAAGGTCTCCTTATACAAACAATAACATCTTTCCTTTTCTCTTCTTCTTCACTTTCCAATTGTGCTGCCCATTTTCATGGACACAGCACAGTAAAATTAAACAGTATGGTTCACCTTATTTTATTTGCTTAATGTTGTGCTCACATTACTTGTCTTAGATTCAATGATTTCTGTTACTTTTGTGTTACAAACTTGTGCACTAAGTACTATTTGTTTAAAGTTTAAAAAAGCAATTATCTGCAAATGGATTAATTTATTTCACATTAATTCGTATGGAGAAACTGTTTTGGTTTATGAACATTTTAGATGATGACAGTCTTTATGAATGAATTATAATCATAAATCAAGACTTCACTGTATTTCATCTACACTCATGTCCATAAATTAAAGATAATTCGGAGTCACGTGGAAATTGAACTCTAAAATAAATATATCACCTGTAAAATCACTACACACATCTTCAAGAATCATATGCAAATTTCAGGAAGTAACCAGATGCCACCGATGGTACGTCACAATGTCCACCGATGGTACGTCACAATGTCGATAGTGTAAGAGAGTGATATATAAAGAATAACAGGCAAAGAAATAAAATTGCTCGCAGGCGCTTTATAAGCATTTCAGTGCAATAACCGAATAGTTATGACACAAAGGACGCATTTGGATGATTTTTTACGTGGTAGAATTATCGGCCGTCTGGAATGTGGGCGTACCCAACTGGTAGTATCAGACGAACTTGGAATTGCCCAGAGTCTCATCTCCAGGCTTTAGCAACGATTCCAAGATAATTTTAATGTGAGTAGACGTTACAGCACAGGTCGCCCAGAGTTACAACGCCGAATGAGGACCGGTATTTGGCAGTTACTGCCAAAAGAAACAGGCGGAGCACAGCCTCAGACCTGTCTCGTCAGCTCTCTTCAACCACTGGTACGACAATTTCAAGGCAGACCGTGTACAGACGCTTAGGGCAGATTGGTCTATATGCTCGTAGACCTGTCAGATGCGTTCCACTTACTGCAACTCACTGTCGCCTGCGGTTAGCCTGGAGTAGAGAGCATGCATTGTGGACACCGCAACAGTGGGCTTGTGTGATGTTTTCCGACGAGTCCAGGTTTAGCTTGCAGTCTGATTCTCGCCGGACTTTCATATGGAGAGCTCCAGGTACCCGTTACCACCAAGAAAACATCATTGAACGACAGCGTTATGGTGGTGCAGGAGTGCTCGTATGGGATGGAATTATTCTGGGTTCCAGAACTGACTTGCATGTTCAAACTGGAACCATAACAAGCCAAATCTATCGGGACATCATTCTGGAACAACATGTACGTTTGTTTCGGGGCGTCATGGGCACACAATTTGTGTTTATGGATGACAATGCCCGTCCTCACCATGCAAGCCTCCGATTTAAGCAAATGGCTTCAATCGGAGGCTATCACCCGTATGGACTGGCCAGCATTCTCACCGGACTTGAATCCAGTAGAGCACGTGTGGGACATGCTTGGCCGACGAGTTGCAGCCCGTCAACCTCCTCCTACATGTCTACCGGAACTTCGGAGAGCATTGCTTTTTGAGTGGTGTAATATCCCCCAAGATCAGATCGATAATTTGATACTCAGCATACCTAGGCGTTGTACGGACTGTATTGCATCGTCTGGGAGACATACAATGTATTAACAATCATACCAACCATGTAATATTGGTTTTTTGTAAATAGGTTTTTTTTTTTTTTTTTTTTTTGTAATTTGCTCCAGGGAGGGAAAAATCACTCATTTTTTTAATAATATCAAACATATAGCATCTCTTTTTGCTCTTTACCTTTTTTTTAATAAATAAGCTTTACAAATAAGACAAATTTGCTTTGCTTCTAACTCTACCTTTGCCTGATTTTGCATTATCCTTAATTTATGGACATGAGTGTACTTCTGATGTGATAATTCTTGAAGTGGTTTCCTACCTGTGGTACATGTAACCTGGGGGTGTGTGGCATCTTAATCTGGGGTATGTATAACATTATCAGTACAGTAGAAAACAAAAAAGTGTTATAATAAATGGTGACAATATAGCAAAATATTTAAAATGCCCTAGATTTCATCAATAGTCAACAAATTTATCAATTCATTTTCTATTTTTTTTTTATAAAAGCTGAAATTCAAAATAACCGCAATACATTAATATTGGCACGTTTGGTTTAGAAATACATGCTATCTCTGTGTTTATTTGATATAAATATTATTATAATCAGTCTTTTTTTTATTACAATTTTCTGATCACATTCTTTGCAGTCTGTTTATTTCATTGTATTAAAATAATACACCAGATATTGCAGGAATACTGGAATAAGTTTTGAGGGGGGAAAATTAGGGGTACTCTATGATTGCAAAACCTTATTCAGAATTAAATGAAAAAAAAAAAAAAAAAAAAGCTGGAAACTTTTGAATCACACTTTTAATTATTCTTACATTTTTTTAGATTCCCCCCCCAATTGCCAAATTGATCATTTTGAAATTCCTTTTAATAAGGAACTGGACAACAGGTTCTAGAAGTCTCCTATCTTACACAGGATCATTTTAATAAAACAAGATATCTCATAGCTTCAATCATTTATTTGAATATTCTAAACAATTATATATTTGTTTATTACTTCTACAGAGACATCACATACAAGCCCTGCATTGTCCTTTTATGATAATGGTTTACAGAAACAAAGTGTAAAGAAAAACCATAATTCTAAACCAGTGTTACAGCACGGCAAAATTAATGTGAACTTTACAACTCTTGGCCAATATAGTTCATTCCCCTCATCCCTTCATCTCACTTAAATTAAAACTCATTTGTCCAATAAACACTAACCTGATATTGTTTCATTAAAATCTTATAAAGAAGGAACCTTCAGTATGAAAATAGAGACACTGGCTAAATGAAGTGATTAAATGCACACCAAATTTGTAGTTTCGTTTAAAAATTAAAAAGTGTTCAACTGTTTGCTATAGCTGAAGTTTATTTCAAATACTTACACTTTAAAGAAGATTTTGCATGAAGGATGCTTTCCCCAGAAATGATAACAATGTGCCCATCAATGTCCCTATCTAATTAGCTATTGAATTTAAGTCAAATTCTGTTCCCTGCCCACAACCGATTAAAAAATTGTTCTGTGAAAATATGAAATAACATTCAACTTGTAGTCATTAGGTTAACTGGAAGCAGAAAAATGAAAAATATGCAACCGCCTTCGCCGGGAATCGAACCCCGGACCTCTGGAATACCGGCCCAGCGTGCTACCATTACACCACTAATGCACACTAGGGAAGTGGGAGAAATACCTTATATACTCCCCTTTTTAAAGGGCGACTAGGGTTTTAGGGGACCTAGTCACCAAATCCTGGGTGCGGAGAATTATCATCCACAACCCTTTTAGTTCGGGTGCCACTTGTAGAGTCATTAGATTAATTGGAAGCAGAAAAGATGAAAAATATTCAACCACCTTTGCCGGGAATCAAACCACGGACCTCTGGAATACCAGCCCAGCGTGCTACCGTTACACCACGAAGGCACGCTAGGGAAGTGGGACAAATACTTTATAAACTAAATTATGCTCAGGGGTGACTGTGGCCCCAATTTCAAAAATCCTGAAAAGTATCTTGGAGTAAAAATGTGACATAATTTCAAATAATTCAGAATATTAATGTGACACACAATTTCATTAACAAAGCAAAATTATAATGCTTTTTACTAAACATTAATTTATATTTTTTACATCCTTTCACAAAGTTATTTACATTTTTAGTTCTCAGTGTTTCTTAAAATAATTGCAAAATTCAGCTTCCTTATCAAGGGTAGGGATTTAATTCCAGGATGGACTGCATTGATATTTTTCTTTGCTAATAATTTAAAGCTCATTGCAATCAGCAAGCCATTTTGCTCTAGATAATGTCTTTACATGTAACCCTTCAAGTATTAAGATCAGAGACTAATTAACAATACTAACAGGTGTAGAATTTATTAAATGAAAAACTGCTAAAAAGAAGAGAATGGTTCATGAAATGTAAAACATTTTTCCAAGCTGTCCAGCTGTTCAATAAATTATCTCTAAAAATTCTTCAACAGGGATTTTCTGACCCAAAAATTTCACATGTATACGAGAACAAATAAATTTCACATATTTAGGGAGAACAAATAATATTTGAGTTTTCACATCAGCTTTCATGGGCTGTCTTGTTCACCCATGTAATGAAATACACTTTTAAGAGTGGGTCTAAAGACAAATTTAAGTTTGTCAATAAGTTTACTTCTGTCTTCCACCTTCTTTAAACCTTGACACTTCAGTTCAAAAGTTTCCAATACTTCAGGTTTTGCCTGTTTGTTTCTGTATAAGATAAGTGATTATTAGATAGTTTCAAACTTCTTGGTGTTACAAATATTTTCATCTTCTGAAAGGACATTTAGCTAATTATCTGCTAATTTCATCAAATCAATGGAACTTCGTTCACATTGCAGAACAGGATTAATGTCATTAAATTTGATGAAGGGAGTTCTTTTTAAGGGCAGCTTTTTGTTTTCTGCAGGTAATCAGCCCATTCTCTATACCTCTTTCAAAATAAATTTAAAATTCTTTTTTTCAATGGATTTAACGTTTTCAGAATTCTTAATTATTTACGCAGTCCCTGCACCAATAAAAATAAATCATGGACTTTTTTCTTCAAAATTATCGTCCATGAACATTACCTGTCAATATGATGACACGGTACCTAAAAATGAATACACATAAATGTGTACGTACAATTTATCAAAGTCGGAGTTCTGACTATATACGGACAACAATCACTCCTGAATGCTACCAAATATGATTAATTAAAACTCATTTTTTTATGAAAATACTCATTACACTGTTCATTTATTATTTATGTTTTATTCATTTTTAAAAAAATTATTTTTAAGTTTTATTCACAAGTCCGTCAACTTAAATTAATTCCACATAATTCAAAAGTTCACTATTTTCAATATAAAACAGATTTATTTCTTCCTGAAAGAAAGAATGAATTCCAGTCACAAAAGATGTGCATAAATTATAAATGAGTTCAGAAAAGCAAAGCTTTTTTTTTTTACAACTTTCCAAACTTACCAATATCTCGGTTTCAGATTTAGCTCTCACAAAATTAATTTCTTAAGGAAATAATATAATAATGCCCTTTTACATGCAGCTATTCTTTTATGTTTAGATTGTTAAATCTTTGGAATAGTTGAGAAAAGAGAGAGAAGAACTTTTCAATACTAAATTTGACAATACTGATTTTGTTAAAGTATTATACACTTGTTCTGAGAAAGTCAGAAACATTTAAAGTCACACACTTATATATGTATCACCCAGAAAGTTCTAAGACTAATTTCACAGAATCAATGATTTTAAGATTATATATCGAGTGACATCCATTTCTTGGCCTTCAAGGAACAACGGTGATGATTAAAATGTTAAGTAGCAAGTCTGATAATAATAATGAGTACAAAATAAAACACTGGTAAGATTTGAAAAAAACTTTGAGTGCTGAAAAGGATGGGTGATTTGTAGTTTCCGTAAGGGTTTAAAAGTATCTGTTTCATTGATTATGCAAAGGTCACTTTTCAATACATTTCATAACTGTTATTCATAAGATATGTAACAGAGATTTAGTACAATGTAAACTACAATTTAAATGCAGACATTCATATAATACTCACTTTCCATTTTGAAGGAATCGAGCTTGATTCAACTGCATTGCTCTATCTGTGAAAAGAATAGACATGCAATATATTCTCACAGAAAACATAATTTCTTATTATTCAGAGACATTACATACAATAATGCATCAATTATCTGAACAATGACTGGATGAATGATCATTTATACCAACATGTTTGGACAGATGTTTGAGCAGATTACAGAAATACTCTGGAAAATCGAACATACGTTTCATGTGTAAAATTTTGAAATCTCATTGCTTTACAATAACCATACAATAATTTAAGTCTGATATTCTTAAATTTCTGGATTTTTGTATTTCCCTATCTTACCCTACCTCTTCTCTTTCATTCTAGACATTTTTCTTATCTATTCACTTAGTTTCAGTTTTTCAACCCAGATGAAAAATATCTTACTTTGCAAAATTTTGAAATCTCATTGCTTTATTCTATACAATAATTTAAGTCTGAAATTCTTAAATTTCTGGATTTTTGTATTTCCCTATCTTACCCTACCTCTTCTCTTTCTCTCTAGACATTTTTCTTATCTATTCACTTAGTTTCAGTTTTTCAGCCCAGATGAAAAATATCTTACTTTGCAAGTGTATTATTCCTACATATGGCAGCTAAACACAAAAACAATTAATATTAATACACAAAACAAGTTAATATAAAAAAATTAACTTCCAGTTAAAGAAAATTCAAAATTCTGTCATAAAGATGAGTGGAAAATCAGTATTATACATTACGGAAAAATATTTTCTTCTGCTTGTTTTCTGAGGCATATAAGCCACTTAAAAAAAAAAAAAAAAAAAAAAAAAAAAAAAAAAAAAAAGTAAGAACATTTTATAAGAATAAAATGTTTGCTTGAAATAGTCATTTTTTATATGAGTATCAATAATCTTAACCCATTTAGGTCTCATTCAATTTATTTAACTCACATTCTCCAGGAAATCAATGTCAAAAACAAAACTACTACATTATTCCAATAAATGAGTTTACATAGGGACATTTGCCACAATTACAATGTGGGAAAACTGCATTCACAAATTTTACGAAAAATTTTTTTAGCATACGGAAAACACGATATACAAGCTATTTCATTAAACAACAATTTCATATTTATAAGATAGAAATGTTAACTTTACATTGATAATATTATCAAACTAATTTTCTTCCTCATATAATGAACAAACTGGCATAGGACTGTAGTAATAAAGCATGAACAATTTAATAAATAATGCAGTGCTTAGCAGAGATTGTAATGCTATGAAGGAAATATGCAGATGACTAATACCCAAAGTTATGTTATAGATAGGACTGGTGAAAAGTGTGTAAGTCAGGGGCTAACTTTGGTCTTGGTCATATTTTAGTTAACTAGGAATGATAGAAAAATACAGTACAAAATCTGAGATCTGGACGTCCAATATCCAGAATGATCTAAAATCCGTGCCTTAAAAACACCAACCAAAATTTTTTTAGAAATTTTTTTATGCTTTACACATGTGTATTTCACTTTTCTTCCCCATAATAAAATATGTGGAGGGTCCTGATATTTAATTTCACTTAAACACTAAATAAAATAACTAGTTATTGAAGAAACAATAATTTTACCATAAATTTGTGCAATCAATAATTTGGCTCCGTAGCTGCGTATTTGCTTGGCATACATCTTATACTGAAACATTCTATATAGAAACTGTTGATTTTACCAAGGCCAACTTATAATCCCTGACACTCAACCCGGGGAATCATTATTTATTATATTTTACTTTCATCACCGCATGTTTAACAGCACATGACAACTTGAGTAATGACTCAGGCAGCGATGCCTAAACATTTTTTTAATTTTAGTAATATAATAACAGAGAGTATGGTAACCTTTTATATTGACATTACACTTGGCGATGATTACAGATTTAAGTTAAATGTGCTAAGAAATGGTGACAAAGAAAAATTTTAACAAATTTCTTTCCATTTGCTAAAAATAGATCTTTGTTAGATAAAAATAGATTAGGCCAAAAGATTATACTTAGTGCTATTTGAATTACAGTATAATCCAGCATATAATGCTCACCAGTGTATAACATGCACTGGTAACTTCAAACTATGCTTTTTAATTTTTACGTATATTCACCATGTAGTGAGCATCCTTTTTGTGAAATGCATCATGCCAGTCTAGAAATAGTGTGCGAGTGGATAATAAAAGCATGGAATGAAATTAAACTAGATGTAATTCAAAAGTCATTTAAAAAATGCAGTATTTCTAATAATCTAAGATGGAATGAAGGATGACTATTTATTTATGGATCAGAGCAATGAGATGAAGATGATATAGAATTTGATGATATGCCTGAAGATATAACATAAGATATAATGGCTAAATTTTCATGTTATTCAACAATGAAAATTTTTAAGCTCATAAGTATGTCATTTCTTTTATATAAACAGCATTTAGGTACATATAGAGATATAATTTTTGTATGCTCATCTTCTTCATATTTTTGAATTTGTAGCTTTTATATCCGGCATATATTGTGCAAACGTGAATTTTGACCCTGGTTTTTGCATTAAAAGTTCGCATTATATGACAGGATATACGGGTAAGTATAATTGATTTGTTATTCACATATACCCAGAACCAGGGCCAGAGCTCGTATAACTGCACCGGGCGGTAGATGCTTGCAATTGAGAAGCACCAAACAACAAAATTAAAAGATGACAAAATTTTTAGAATTCAGGGAAAGCACTGGGATAAAAAATTTAGAGGCGGCAAAAATTTAGAACTTAGCACTTGGTAGCAGAATTTAGGACCCACAGAGACTGCATCAGATATCTAGCATCAAGCCTCGATAAGCCTGAAGTATATGTGGGAATTTATTCAGGACTCAAATAAGCCTTAAGCATGTGCAAAAAATATATGTAAGTACAATAAATAACTAAACTAATACAATTCAGGCTTAACTGCCTCAGAGTGCAATAAAAGCAAGACAAAATTTAGTGAAACAACTTGTTTTTCATTGCAAATCTCATGATACATAATGAAATAATGTCTAGCGGATGCTATTAATCTAGGCTAAAATTATACATTACTGATTCCAAGGAATTCAGTTCAGATTGTGCTGTTCCTTAACTTTTTGATTTCATCCAGCTTATTATTCTTTGCAGGCTGTTATTATTACAGCAGTTTTATGAGAAACAAAGTTTGAATTTTTGATTATGTAAAAAAGAGTTAATTATTCTGGAGCTGTAACAGGATCTATATTAAGATCCTGTGAAAGCATGTTTCGATATTCATTAAACAAACAGTGGATTTGCTGCAAAAAATGGATAATCCATCTCAAAATTATGCGAGGTGTGCGGCATTGGAAAGTCAACTGTATATGACATACAAAAACAGATAAAGGAATTTGTTGTGGATTCCGACACCCCACTCACAATGAATAACAGAAAAATTATTACTCTTTCTAAAAGTGACGATTATTAGAAAGTGATGCTTGATTGGGTCAGACAGCGTCACAGCGAGGACAAGCCATTGACAGGTCTGATGCTAACGGCTCGAGCTAAAATATTTCATGAAGAAATTAACTTAAAAACTGAGTCCACATACTTGACAGGTTGGTTAACCAAATTTAAAAATCACCATGGTATAAGGCAATTAAAAATTTCAGGTGAAAAAGCTTTAGCTAATACTGAAGCTGCTGACTTATTTGCAGACGAATTCATTGAACTCACTAATAGTGAAAAGTTATCACCAGAACAAATTTACAATACTCATGAGACTGGTCCTTTCCAGCAAAATGTACTGTGAAATACCTTGGCAGCCTCTACAGAAAAGGTTCCAACTGGTGTCAAAGATTCCAAAGTGAGACTAACAGTTTTAGCATGTGCAAATGCTCAGGAAAGCACAAGTCTAATATTTTCACAATCAGAAAAAATACATGACCTCGAGCACTTAAAGAAGTAAAGATTTTCAACATTATATATCGTGCAAATAAAAGAGCATAGATGACACAAGTGTTAATGAATGATCGGTTTGATAATCGTTTCATACTGGAGGCTCAGCAACATTTGAATACTGCTGATTTACCTGATGACCAAAATTGTCCTGATTGTAGACAAGTGTACTGCTCACACTTCACTTAATGTTTTAGTGATAGATAATGTATCTGTATTATTCTTTCTTCCAAACTGTATGTCCATCATTCAGCCAATAGATATCAGAATAGGACAGAGGCGAAAATGTAAATATAAAGTAGCATTTTTAAATTTCTTGAATAATGAAAAGAATAATCAAGAATTCTTGAAATATTTTAGCATAAAATGTGCTGTATCGAGCATTGCAAGATCATTGGTGTGTCTCCAGATACTTTAAAAAATGCTTGGCATAATTTATGGCCAGCTACCATATTTCATGGTGAGGATGACGAAAAAGATAGTGGCGAATTTGAAGGTTTTCGGATATTCCAAATTAAAGGTGTGAAATTTCTCAACTCATGCATGTTATAAAGAAATGCAGAGAAAAGATAATAAATATATAGTTGATATAAAAGGTTGATATTAAAAAAGTTTTTCATTGCAATTTCAGTGCCCCAATTATCAATCAACAGAACCAATAGCGAAGAAAGTGACAGAGAGGTTACTGGAAATGAAAAAAATTCGATTGATAAATTAGTCAGAATTCCTGACACAGCAATTACAGGACCTTGAACAAGAAATTATACCTGTCTATGGAATTGAAGGGACAGTATAGGCACAAAAAATGAAGCAACTTATATTGAAAAAACACACAGAAAACTATCAACTTACATTGATATGTTAAATAGAGTAAACAAAAAAATATGAAGTTTTTTTTTTTTTTTGTCTGTTACAAAAAATGAAGCAAATTAAACCCCTTACATTGAAAGAAATGTTTAATAAATCAAACAAATAGTTATTGAGCGTTTTATGCTAAGTTTGATTCCCTTTTAAGGTCATAAATGCTTCATTATTTCATAAATCATGATTTCATATTTTTTATTTTATAATTTCTACATGCCATCTTACTAGATTTAAAGTGATGATCTAATATCCAGAAAAATCCCAAATTTGAGATCGCTGAGGTCCAGACAAGTGCGGATCTTGGATTTTGTACTTTACTTGTTTAGAGATAAAACTATGTAATGAAGAATGTATTTTTCATACATATGACTGCAAAATAATATTTAAATAAGTGTGCTACATAAAATGGAGTTATTTCAATGCTGTCGACTTCTTAAAATTTAGCAGACTCCTATGGCAACTCTATTTGTGATTGCACAGTGGGGAATAAGTAGAAATAAAGAATATCAAACTTTGCTTTTTCTGCACCACTGAATAAAATTAGCAACCACACTATTTATATAAACATAAAATAATTGCATTGCCTGTAAATCCAATTATAACTCAACTGCAGTTTTTGAAGAGAAGCATGGCATTTTAGAGTATTTAGCATAAATTATTATGCTTTGATACATATTATTTCTTTAAAGCTAATTCTAAAATATAGACAGAGTAATGTTTCATTTATCAGCATATTCTGAATTACTGATGATTTCAAATGCAAACTAATTACAAAACAAAGAACTGCATATCTTCACATTCATATAAGTCAGGGTATTACAACAGAAAGCATGCACAAGAGTTGTAACTTTCAGGTATCAATCAATTACAATCTGAGGTAAAACATAGACTGAAAATGTGAACCAGGTGTTGCTAATGCTGGCAAAATTTTGAATAATATATGAAAAATCATATGCATTTTAATGCTGCTCATAAAAGAAGAAAATAGTAAATACATCCACTTAAGCTATTATTCTGTTTCTATATTTGAACTGTGAATAATATTCCCAGAAGAACAAAAAATAGAAATAGAAAATTAAATTTTGGATCATAATAATGCCAAATAAAACTATGATTTTCTTAAATACAAAGAAAGTTACAGGAAAACTCTGCTTTATGCAAATTCTAAATGCAAGACAATGAAACAACATAATTTTCTGCTCTAAATCTCTAATTGTTTATTAATAAGATTTTATTATTCTATACAAAATTTTTGACCCATTCCGAGATGATTAATTGGTATTAAATTTGGCAGCATACTTAAAATAAATTTGAAAAGATAACTATTGCACTGTAAAAATCAAGCAATTGCACTGCAACATTTGTTAGCTGTTACTATCAGATTTTAATAGCAAAATCCACTCCTTTTTCTTTCAATAATTTCAATAAAATCAAAGATAAACCCATGAAGAGAAATGCAAGACTATGAGGCTAACTACAAAAGAACTAATTTTAAACCATAATGAGCATGCTATTGTTGAATGTTATTTCCAATGACAAACAAAATCCCGATGCAGCAAAAATTAACACAAACTATCGAGCATTATTCAAACATGTTATTTCCCACCTATAAAGAATTTGCCCAATTGAATAGTTAGACAATGAATAAAAAAAAAGCAGTTCATTTTTCGACATACATATTTTATTACAATATAATTTCACTGTTCTTTTTTATTTATACTAACTGATAGGTGCATTTTTATTTCCCATACCATTTAATGTATATGCTTAATGCAATTTTGCTCACTGTGCATTAACTGATGGATTACTCAATTGCACTAAGCAAGGTTTACTCATTCAAAATATTTTTTTTATTTATATAAAAATATTTTTTATTCTACCTTTTCAAATTAATATCTAAGACTAACTTTCTAAGTAATTATATAATCATTATATTGTATAGCAATAATAACTGACCTGGTGTTTGATAGTTAAGAGCACACATCTGCACGCCAGAGTTCCACATACGACAAGGATCATAATTCGAAGAATCTATTCGACTACCTTTAGGATAAACTCTACTGAACTGCAATCGGTGATACATAAGCTATATTAAGATCCATAACAAACAAGTTGATAATAGAAAATGCTAGTACAATATACAGTTTTCAAATAAATACAAAAAAATAATTAAAAAGCACACAAGAATTTATCTGTGGATTTAAGAAAATGTTAAACAAATGTTTATTTAGGCATTACAAAAATTATTTAAAATTTAAAGAACAATTTGAATTTCCTTTAATTATAAAACTTAATTATAAAACAGATACATCAGCTTTTTCTGTAACTGCTAATAAAAGATTATAAGCAATAAAGAAGTAAATAATAACCCAAATATCTTAAAGCACAAACAGAATGAATACCACACAACAAAAAAATCCTCAGAAACCATATGAAAGCCTTTAACACATAAAACAAAAATCAGATTTTCTTAAAATAATAAATTATTCTGTCTAAATAGCAAAAGTTTTTAATAATATGCACCAAAATAAAGATAACTAAGTGATGATGAGACACATCAATGAGCTAGAGATTCACTTGAAAAATAATGAATTTCCGAAATTACAGATGCACCATTTCTTTAATAATTCACAAATTTCTAATGAATCACAGAAAAAATATTTTAAAAACTTACAAGAGAAAAAGTACCCAAGGAAAAAAATGATGCTGAAAAATAGATGAGAAAAGAAGGAAATTCGCTTTATAAATACAGTGAGCCTTCTCATGTTGATCACTTCTGAAAAATGATTGGTATTTTAGAGCATATAAATAAACAATATTGTAGAACATAACCTCCCTATTAGGGCAGGATAGCTCTTGCACCATTGTGTGCTTTGCCATTGTTAAATAACCTAATCTAATCATAACTTCTATAAGGTGATCACTCTCACAAAGTTATTTGGAGCAGTTAAGAGCCTTCTTAGAGAGGGTTACTTCAATTACTTTTTTGTTCATTACAAATACAACTGAAGGCTTTTTTTAGAATGCACGTGTAACTTTATTATACCAAGATGGTGTCATATCATTATAGTCTTGGTCTATTTCTAAATCTTGTTTAAAAATCCATTTTATTTATTAAATGAAAAGCTCACATAAATAAAGAATGTGTACCGAGTTTAATACAATTAGATTCAGAGAAAATTATAATTATGGAATAGAAATTTCTCTTGAATATATTTATCAAATATATTATTGTTTTCTATTAAAGGTTTTAGCTACAGTGAACTTCCATGCAGTGGCCACCTCTAAAAGTGAACAGTATTTCTGAGAGCTTAAACACCAGTATTTATTGTCACCCGACTAAGGCAACTTCCTCCACAAAAGAATATAATTCCTATGGAACTATGGGTTATCTTCTTAGGGAAGACTCACTGTAAATGTCACTCTGAAACAATATGAGAAAAAACATAATAAACTGGAATAAAAATTGTTGATAATATATCTATACCCTAAACTCTCCAATTTTCATACTAATACCACAGCATAAGTAACACTACAGACTATGCAATTGGTTCTACTACTTATTTTATGCTTCAAACTGTAACAGTATGTTGCACATATCAGCATAAAAAAACTCAAGAGACTATAAAGCAATGTAAAGTGAACAATGTAAGAGTACCCGCAGTTCAAACAATTTTGGTCTTCTGTAGTGTTGTTGGAAGCATTAAAGAAAAAACATTTCAATATTTTATATTCTCCGAAATACTGGTCATTTTCAGAGACTGTCACCACAAGAGGGTTGACTGTCAAGACTGAAATAATAAAATTATGATAAAAATATTAAAAAACTCTCTAAGAAATTTAATCTAAGAATTTTGCATCTAATCTAAGAATTTTGCATCTATACGGCCCATGACGATGTCATGCGCAATTTAATCTATTACAGCGTTTACGCTGATGTGGCATTTCTGTGTAATTTAAATTTTTTTCCCCCGCCACTTTTCTCGAGTGCAGCATTTATGCTGATGCGGCCTTTCTTCCGGAAATTACGGCAAATTTCTAAATACTTTTTAATGGATAATGCTAAAAAATTGTATTAAAGTATGAATGAATTATGATTATTTGAAAATAATAATTTGAATGATTTTAATTACAGTATTTTAAATTACTTAAAACTAATTTTGTCTTAATAAATATTTTTACATGCAATAAATAAAAATTTTTAGTTGCAAAATAAAACTTTCTGAGAAAGGTGGACTTCTTTACATTCAGCTTTTAGTATGCAAGTTTATCAGATTTTTATTAAATTGTTTAATCAACCACACACAATTCTGAAAGAAAATTGAATTTTTATGTTATGCATTAATCACTAGCTGATGAAAAATTAATGAAATGTGTTTCAAGGCCTAAAAAATAGTCCTTTTGAATTATTCCATTATTATTTCTTAAGCTAGAAAGAATTTTGAAAATTTCATTTTTTAACAGTTTATTTTGGTAACTTTCAAAATTACATAGATGAGCTTTTTTATTTTAAAACTTCTCTCTATAAGAAAACTACTGAATTTTATATAACAATAGTATTAGAATTTAGAAAGGAATTTGTGCAAAAATACTTTAGCTTAGTGAATTTAGAGTACTGGATTTCAATCATTTTTGCTCCATGCATCCCCTTTCACCACTGCTAGATGATTATACTCGCTCCTTTCCAAAATTAAAAAATAAATAAATATACATTTATTTAAATGCAGATTATTCTTTGTGTTTTATAAATTAAACAAGAGCACAGAAATGAAATAAAGCACAGAAAATGTTGAACCACACTAGAATAAAAATAGTTTTTAATAAAACTAAAATTAAATATATAACAAGTAAATAAAAGCCTAACCACAGTCCCCTCTCTGAAGCTATAAATTCCCACCCCCCAGTTGAGAACCCGACTTAGAAACTAAATTAAATTAACAAATGCAATTTTGGTTCTTCGTACTAGTAGAGATATCAAGCTTCACATATTAATCATGCAAAAGAATATAGACTTAAGTTCTGTCAAATAAGTTTTTCTTTATGTGCATGCAAAGAAATGGGAACAGCTTTTCAGAAGGGCATGGCCTTAAATAGCTAAAACTTGCCAACCACTACATGTGTTAGCACATTATCACTAGTTTCTCTAAATCATTTTATTGGAAGAAAAATTTTTAGTTCTTATCCAACCATATATTAGATCCACAGCCCACTGATAATCCCGTTGCGCACTTAATTTGAGCAATAAGTAATCATTATCTGCAGATCAGAAGAATATATTGGTGTAAATAGTTATAAAACTATTACATTCCAACAAATAAGATTTAGCAAAGTAGGTCCATGTGATGAATAACAACTTCAACTTATATTCATTAGTACTGAAGAAGAATGCTGGTAATAAGAATATAAGGTATTTTCTCCCTCCTTTAAGCATGCCTTCATGGTGTAACTGTCAGCATGCTCAGCACTTATTTGAGAGGTCCAGGGTTCGAGTATCAGCAAGAGCATTGCTCATTTTTTACATCTCCAACATCAAAATAACTTAATGACTCTACAGTGGCATTCGAAAAGGGATGAGGTGGTCGATGATTTTGCACCCCCAGGATTTGGTAAGTAGGTCCCCTAATCCCCAGTCACCCTTAAAAGAGGGAGTATGTAAGGTATTTTCTCCCTCCTTTCAGCATGCCTCCATGGCATAACAGTCAGCACGCTTGCCACGTATTTGAGAAGTCCAGGGTTTGATTCCTGGTGAGGGCATTACTCATTTTTACATCTCCAGCATCAAAATAACCTAACGATTCTACAAAAATAAATATTACAAATGTTTTTGATGAATCATAATTAAAAGGAATGCTCAATTTTGTTATTAACTAAACTTTTAGTTCATTTCATATTGATTTTACCTTAAATAATTTAGGTTATTTAATTTACTTTTAATCATGATAGATTTGAAAATATCCCAAGTTAACTTTGCTTTCGGATTGAAAGATCTCTGTTCTTAAGAATTACATACAGTACTTATGTACAAAATTTTAAGAATAGTATACATAAATACAGTGCATAATGTAAACAGAGTTTGTGAAATATAATAATTAACTTGTTAAATTATGACAGAACATGAATTTTCTGTTTCACACCATTTCCTTAAAATTGTATAGGGCTATTGTATAAGGCTATGTATATTACAGAAAAGATAAAGAAGATAGTTATTTGCAGTACATGATTTCCACACCAATCTATCTGATCAAAGAACTCCAAGATGTAACTCTAAATATAGTGATACAACTATTATTTCAGCTTGTATTGCAGTAAAAATTACTAAGTTTTGTGGTGCAGGCTTCAAATTTACTAATTCTGAAGCCACTGCAATAAATTTCTGCTCACAAATATAAAAATCTATTTCATACATTTTGCTTAATATACGAGGGCCATCCAGGAAGTAGATTACGTTTCCGTCTGTGTCCGCTAGGGGCGGGGCTAGCGCGGCCATCTTGGGGTCAGAGCGTTGCGCAGCTCAGTCTGCATCTAGCCGTGCTAGTGAGAGGTTCGTGCTGTGCTCCGTTCAGATACTGTGACGGTTTGAAATGTCTGCGTTAATTGAAAATCCCGCGAGCTGCGAGGTGCGCTCAGTAATAAGGTTTCTGACTGCAAAAAAACTGTAAACCGATAGAAATCTATCGGCAGCTTCGTGAAGTGTATGGGGACAACATTATCACTGAAGGTGGAGTGCGTCAGTGGGTCATAAGATTTCAAAATGGCCGAACCAATGTTCACGACGAAGATCGAAGTGGGAGACCCAGCATAGTGACCGCCGAACTTCTCGAAAAAGTCGATGCTAAAGTCCGTGAAAATCGAAATTTCACAATAACGGAACTTTCTTTGAGTTTTCCACAAATTTCGCGAAGTTTGTTGCACGAAATCATCAGCGAAAAGCTTGGTTACCACAAGTTTTGTGCAAGATGGAAGGCAAGAAGAGGTAACGAAGTGGTTGAAGGCGCAGGCGGCCGAATTTTTCGACGAAGGAATTTCCAAGCTCGTACATCGCTACGATAAATGCCTTAATTTGTATGGTGACTATGTAGAAAAGTAGTATTTGAGTGTGGCTTTCATCTGTATATAATAAAATTTGTTTCCTATACTTTGTTTATTTTTTTATTCCAAAACGTAATCTACTTTCTGGATAGCCCGTACATTTTAATTATAATATTTTTAAACAAAGTAATTTCAAAATGTTGAGAGAACTGTTTTTTGTAATTGGTAATTCTTATTCTCATTTCTGGATAATTTTTGTATTATTCTTAGTACGTACTAGGAGATTTATTAGTTTACTTAAAACCCTGTTCCTACAGAGGGGGAAAAAACTGAATATGCATGCATTAAATGAGGGGAGGAAAATATCACTTACTCAACATAGTACCTTAAAGATGCATGTGTGCAAATGAGAGGTATAACATTTACTCAACACAGTACCTTAAAAATAATTGTTAGGAATATTCATTTATTTGTAGTAACTGGAATGTAACATTTTTGATTGTGGTTATTTACCAGCTGAAGGATTTCTAAAAAAAGGCTACATTACATTTACCTCTTTTATTATTCTTATAGCATTATTCATTAGTGTCACACCTGCACTTTCAATTTTGTTAGTATTACCTATCCATATTTAAATAGCAGGAAAAAAAGTAATGGCTCAAAAATTATTTCCCCATGCTTATCATTGCTATTTAAAGACATTTTTGAATACCTAATTTTATGCTTATTGTTGTAATGACAAAAGAAATATCACTTTACTCGCAAGGTATTTAAAATACAGTAAAACACATAGATTTACATGCAAATAGTAACTCGGCAGTGTTGGTAACATGAGTGAGGCAGGAAAACGTATCAAGGGAGGTTTCAACCATTTGAGCAGGAAGGATTATATGAAAACTGTTTATTTCTTTGCTTTATGGGGTCAAGCAAACAGTGCTTTAGCAGTCTTATCCCTTAGTTGCTGGTGGCTAACACTGTCAGGAAGTAATGATTCTTAATTTGGGCATTATAAAGATTTAAAACAAGCTACCATAAATAAATTTGGAAAGAAAGTGAAATTTATCAAAAATTTAAGGGGACAAATTTTTGACAAAATAGATTCTCCAAATAACATTGCACAAAAAGCATATAACACATACAGAGATAGAAAACAATATCAAACAGGTATGTGATAAGTAGATTTTACTCCATCAGAATAACTGTTAAATCAGTAGAAAAACAACAAAGCACAAATCACATTTTGAAGAGATATATGAATGAAAAGATGATGATTTGATTGAAAGATGAAATGAAAAGATTTTTGATGATGTTTGATTCATGAGAAATCTACATAACATACTAAATGTTTACTTTAAGACAATATATACTTCAGTTTCAAATATAAATATGGCATTAGCAAATTTAATCTTAATCCATGGCTACTAACCTAAAAGACACAGTTTTAAAGTTATTTGGAGAACAAATGTAATGCATCTAGAAAAATAAATAATCAAAGGATATTTGAGAAGAAACTTGCAATTACTTGGGCCCACCCATTTTTCAATTTTTGTTTCAGGAAATGATGACATTTCTGTAAAATTTCCAATTTCTATTTGGGAGAAAATGAAACTTATTTAATTAATGCATATTTATCAAATTTCACCAGTACACCTGAAAAATTCATGATAGAAAATTTAAGTAAACAATTTGCTTTTAATAGTTTATGCAATTCTCACTTAACAAATTTTATTTCAAAGATGTATAATTGAATACATTTTAAATTACTTTCAAATAACAAATAATAAAGAACACTAGATGTTTAGGTAAAGGAAAATATTACAGGATCTAATTCAGCATTAACTAAGATGTCAGCATCTGAACATTTTTTGGCTGGAAGCATTTTACAAAGTGAACAGTCACCTTTCATAAAGAGATAGCCAAATTTAATGCTTTAGTGATGGGATTCCACTGATTTACCTGACAAATCATTTTAAACAGCCTTTTGCATATGTTCCATGATGATTTCCTACTTTACAGTGCAGCTTAATTATGCGATGAGATAATTGAATAAAGATGCACTTCATAACAGCTGCAGCATAAGTCATGGAAGGCTGAACCAAAACATTGTTTGCAGAACTGGTTCTAAAATTTTCTTTTCCAAACTTCCAATTTCTTTCTCAAGTTTCGGGTCAACAGCAGAAATGTTTTCACGTGATGTTGGCAATTCCTTGATTTAAGTGTCTCCCCAAATTCTGATTTTACACACTTAACCCTTTTTCAAATTTTTCTTTTATAAATATTACTTTCTCATTCAGGATTTCTCTTTTAACAGAAACAATGCTTTCTTTCATTCCTGCTTCTTCATCTCAGCAGCATTTGTTTCGATGGACTTCTTCACTTTTGTCTTCATTTCAGCAGAATTTGCTGGTTCTTTTTCCTAGCTAGCAGCAATATTTTCCTAATGGTTTTACAGCTGCTTTTTATTATCTTCAGATTAGCAGCATTCAAAGAGAACCTCAATGTTGAGACTAACTGCTGCAAGTGTTGACACCTGCTTCATGACTGTGTTTTTAAATAACTCTAAATGAGCAAAGAAATTGGCAATTAATTATGTATAACTACACACAGCAAAAGAAATAGCTGCAAATATCTAAAGGAGAATGTCAATATTAATCAATTACTCTTTAAGGCAGGATAAATATCATTAATTCCCCAAATCACTCACAGAGAAACTCTAAAAAGCAATTCAGGTGCCTTAATTATGATAGCTAATTAACAGCTGACTTGTTCTACCTCTCAGAACTGTATTTATATGATGCTTCTGAAAAAATTCTTTTGGCTTCTGAAAAAAAATTAGTCATAGGCCTTCAGAGATGTAGTGTTTCCAAATCTGCCAGAAAGCTGCCGAAAAATCATCAAGATTTGTCAGGAGCATGTTTACCAATATTTGAGCAACTTATATAATTTAAATGCTGGACTCAGACCTGAAAGATTTATATTTGTATATAACACATACACACATATACATATAACTTGTGGCCACAATTCAGTTACCAAAAAAAAAAAAAAAAAAAAAAAAAAAAAAAAAAAAAAAAAACCTAAAGTTATTGCTCTAAAAGTAACATATAACTAACAATATTACAACAATACATAAACACAACAATATAGTCAAATGAGTTTAAACATTTACATAAATTTACAACATATATCAATGTAAATTAACCTACTTTCAGGGCTAAATGGCATTGATCTGCAATATATAATCAGGTTTGACAATTCCTTAGCTATTCTCAATGTTCTTTCCATTTTTTTACTGTGCAATAGCTAAAAAAAAAAAAAAAAAAAAAAAAAAATTAATTGACTGAAAACTAATTCAAAGCTATCATTATCCTTTACTAAGAAAATAACTGCACTTCAAATTGTCCTACATTATATTTTCAGCTTAAAACAAATTTAATCATTGAATACAAATTTCAAAATAAGAAAGAATAAATATAAATACAGCAGCATATAAATTTTTTTTTTGGGGGGGCAGGCTGAAGGAAAAACAGTTAAAAATTTAATTTTTAAAATAGAATATTTTAAAAGAACTGGAAACCTGTATTCAGGCAGAATGCAAATGAAAAAGGGTCAAAATTAGGTGCAAATGCTATTCATATCTGACTTACACAAATTACACACCTAAAATCACAGCTCTTTCAGATGAAGATTTATAATTAGATATTAAGCAAACAAGGAAAATTTTCACAAAAACATACATTTATTTTACATAACAAGTAAATTAGTGATAAATCAAATCAAACATATTTAATTTATTGAAATAAACAGTATCTGCAATTCTGAGATGCATAAAGAATATATATGCACATGAGGGACCAGCAACTGCAGCACATGCATTGCAACAATCACAGACATCATTTATGGTGCAAATTTATTCTCCTGAAGATCTTGAAGAATGTCACCAGAATTAGCATCACTTCCTTAGAAGCATATGACATGCCATGTATCTTCCAAAGTGTACACCAACCCTTTTGGCATCATTATGATGCACATCTTGCAATTGGTGTTTGTTTCTTTGAACAATTCTTGTAAATACTAAATATTATATCTCGAAAAGATCTGGGATTAAAATAACTCTTCATGTTCATAATCACCGTGTTTCTGCATTCACATTTCTCATTCAATCGCACATTGTATGAGAAAATTGTTACTTTCATCATGTTCTGTCATCCCTTTAAGTTATGATCATCAATCCATTAGCACCCTTTATATAAGAAGTATGAAATGGTATTTCTTGAATTTTGTTAGCTAATATCAATATCTACAATAAATCCTCTTTCAAAGCAGATATGCTCAGAAGAAATTGTTGTTGTATCCACAGACTGTTTCAAAAATTATCTGTAAGCTTCTTTTTTATATGTTCTTGCACTTGCTGGACAGGACTCCTCATTGTTTCTTACCAACTACATAATTATCATGGGTTAATAGGAGCAAACAGAAATAACAAAAGGTGAAGCAACGACAGTATTTAACAGTAACAATAAAAAATTAACACATTAAAAGGATAAACTACTTGTAGCCAGGGCGCTAATACATGATGTTAAAATCAGATTCTATATATTAAATCAACAGCAATATTCATAAGCATTTATAATTTTGATTCACTCAGAGATTATATACACACTTGAGATTTCTTTGAGCTTTTAATCTACGTCATACAGAAATATGATAACATGATAATATCGACACTACTTAAGATTTAACCCTCTGAGCGCCATGACTGGCTTTATACACACATGAGATTATTTGTGACTTATTATATGTTAGCTTATAATTTAAGATATTTTGCTTTCTTACTTTCATTGATAATATAAATGCCATCTTGATGAACGCAAGTTTATGAAAATAGAGACTAAAATAGCTAAATATACATATTTAGCTAATAAAGGCTCTTTAAATACAAGTCTTCATGAAAATTGAAAAACCTGGGCTGCTAAGAGGGTTAACTCTTTGCGGCGCACTATACGTTAACGTCAGAATTTTAACAAAAAAAGTTGTATGCAGTCTATTTAGTCCTAAAGGAGTATACAGGTAAAATTTTGTAAAAATTGCACTTACCATTTTAATTCTGTGGGGTGTTCCATGTGGTGGAACACTGTGCCGCCTGAGCTTTTAAAAGTGCGACTAAGCGAGCATTGCAGTGAAGCACGAAAATGAGAAGAAGCGTTTGTATAAGAATGAAAAAAAACTCTGTATTATGGCTGTATACATGGTTTCCTGGATATACACAATATTCTTGAATATATACGGATAAATGAGATAAATATCTATATACACAAGTCCTATATACAAAAATATTTACAAATTTTCGGAAAGAGCGCTTCGGAAAGAGTTAGGCCTCTCCGCACCATTTATAGAAAATTAATAATAAAAAAATTAACTACGATTAATATTAACAATAAAGAAAAATTAGCCTATAATATATACATACACGAAAAATATCTACACAATTATTGAAAATAAACAGGAATGAGACTAAAATGCGACAGCAAAAAATTCGCGCAGGTCTAAGTAAAGATCAGTCAAGCTACTAATTCCCGCCTAAAAACTTCTCCCAAAATATTCGAGATGCCAATATTAGGGCTTTCATAACACAAAACACACCTCACCCCTCAATACTGCTTTGTTTGAATTCATTCCCCCCCCCCAAACAACGGAAACAACGTAAACAGCGGATGTTCTCTCCTAAGCACAGATGTTCTGATTCGTAATAGCATGAGATTGCTAAAGGCGCAGTGTTCTAGCTAATGGAACACCCGGTTTCATTCAATGATTCTGCGTATGGTTTTTGTATGAAAGATTAAAAAAATATAGAACAAATAATTTAGAGTACAGCCAGCAAAATTATGCCTATTTTTTTTTCCAAATAAAATTTTTTATATCATTAAAAAAATAGAGAAAATTACTTGAAAAAAAGTGGATTTTGATAACACATTAAAAATGAAAATTATGTGTCTCCTTGTGATATGCTGCTATCTACTGTTTAGAAAGAAAAGTTCAAAGTATATTATAAAGGCATTTTTATCTATTTACGGTTGAATTTAAAGGTTTCAGAAGCGATTCAATTTGGGTGTTCCATGTAGTGGAACACTGAGCCACAAAAGGTTAAAGGCCAATCCATAAACAAAATATTTACAATCAGATGACAGCACAGGTTCCACAAGTTAACAACACTGAATGAAATTAGGCCATTGGGTACAAATTTAAAAAAAAAAATATTATATGGTTGTATAAATAGGTTTGTTTAGCTTATCCTAGAAAACAGACATACCATGTCATTAGCTGATTGCGCAGTTTGCCTTATTGTCTGCACCCAGTCAACCATTTCTTCTCGTGTTGCAGCAGCAATCTCAATAGGAGTTATTTGACGAGGAGAAACAATTCTGAAAACAAATTCTTTACCCCTATCAGACATTCCTGTCAGAATATCTGAAAATCAAAACAAATCTGAGAATCTTGAAGGAAAAAAGACACTGTTAGAGAGCATTTAAAGAGGTATTAGAGGAAGTACTGATTATAAAATGATAACAGCTCATTACGCACAATATTGAACTACTGCTTCTAATGCATACAAAAGCATAAATACATGGTATCATTTCATGAATTCAATATAAAATTCAAATTGCTTTTTTCATGTCTCTAAAGAGCGACTTAGGCTATGTATTAGATTTATATATAGCATTGGTCTAACATAGATACTTTGACACAAAATCAGACTTTTTCTGAAATAACATACAATTTTTTTTCCTTATTTCGATTCTATGACTCAAATTAGGTACAGATATTAAATTTTGTAATTTTTGGTGAGAAATTTAAAATTTTATCTTGGTGGATTTTTTTTTAGTTTGAGCCAAAAATAATTCACTTGAAGAACTTCTTAATTTACAGCAATCTACTTTCCTTTCCCTTTTTTCATTGTCCACCAGCAGGGAAAAAAGTCACCATTCATACTTTCAAATAATTTTAACAAGGTACTTAAACCACATGTCCATTATTATTACTTATGATAAATACACCAAATTTCAAAACACACCAAAATGTAAATTCATGTATAGCTTAAGAAATTTTGAATAAAAAAATTTAATATTTTGTAAGTATGCTTAGAAATACATCTGCTTTAAGAAGCTGGTAAAAATTTTAGAGGTTATAATTCAAATTTGTTTTTGAAAAATTTATAAAAATTATTTAGAAATACAAATTTTAAAATAAATCACAAAAAATGGGTGAATTTTATTTGGAATGAACCTTAATTACAAAATACGACAGGAAGAATCAAATAAGTTTAATAAAAAAGAGATATTAATATAGATAGATATCAAATTCAATTAATATTGCAAAGCTAAAAATTTAAGAGCTGATTTTTTAAAAACTTGGCAGTTTGGCATCATTTGAGTCGCGGAATCAAAATATGGAAAATAACTGGCATGTCAATTCAGAAAAAGTCCGAATTTGTGTCAAAATACCTATATTTGAACAACGATATATATATATATATACATATACTATATACTACATATCCTGAGTTGCACCTTTAAGACATAAAAACACAAGTTGAATTTCACCAATCAACCCAGTAGAACAGGAGATACAGAACTGTCCCATTTTTTCAGAGGGGGGGGGGCAGTGTGCATGAGTACATGATTCTTAAATCTTGAAACTGCTATTAAGAGAAGGGTGGGCCTACTTGATAGAAACTGCACTCCATAAGATGATGCTCAGCTCTAATCTCAGCATGAATATATTCACTCACAGAATGGAACAGTGTTAGTTACGCAGCGATGCTTCAGTTTGGTTTATTTCATTACAGCAAAGCACTTGAGAGCTATCTGCCTAAGAGAAGGGATATATTCATGGAGGACTTTCTAAGGGAAACTGGCTCTTATCTACATTACATAAGGGTAAAACCGCAATCTACATTACACAAGGGTAAAACCACGAAATCATCCATGCAGCCAACTCATCACTGGGAATCGAACCCCAAACCAAACTACCAGCATTCAGTGACTTTTACTGCTCAGCCACTGATGGGTTTATATACTGATGCAATGTTTATTACTGCTTGATTAAATATAACAAATGTTCAATTAAATATTTCTTATTTCTCTATCAATTATAAGGTGCCTTACAATACTAAAGAACATTGGATTTATTTCAGTGGTGATAAGGGCAAAAGAAAGATAAAAGAAAATACAAAGAGGGGGAAAAACCCTATAATCTGTCCATTTAGTTAGATTCTGTTAAGTCCAACTAACATAGTTTTCTGATATCAGGTAGAATCCAAAGCATTTATACTAGATTTGCTGGAGGATTTTCAAAATGGCTTTTTCATCATGGATTAAATCAATTCATATTTAATTTAAAGTGGAGTTGAAGTGATTACAAACAAAAGAAAGTAAGCCTCATTACTGAACAGAGTCAATACTGAAAGTCAATGGATGTATTATATCTTAAAAACTACCAAAAACGTATACATTACAATCAGACTTTGGGCAAGTTTAACTGATGTAGCTCAATGCATACTATTTCATTAAAATGCATAATACAAAAGTCATTTCAATAGGTATTATGTTTTAGCATTATAGGAAATGGTATCAATTCTTTTGTTTCTCATTAGGACAAATAAAATTGCAATACAGCAGACTCCCTCTTAACCGGCTTCCATTTAACTAGATCTCTGCTTTAACCGGCCATAATCAGTGGCGTAAATAAGGGTATGCAAAGAATGCCATCGCAAAGGAGCCCAAAGAACTAGGGGGGCCTTAAATGTCCTGCTGAACTACATTTACATGTTTAAACTTAAAAGATGGATTCCAGTGTGTATATATATATATATAGAGAGAGAGAGAGAATCTTTAATTCATTTTTCCCTGATAAGTTCGGAATTGGAGTTTCAGTAATAGGAGATTAATTATTATTTTGATATTTTTATCTTGTATTTTCCCCTTTTTGCTTTTCATTTTTATTTTTAGACTTTGTACTACTATGAATTCTTATTTTAATTTTGATATGTTTGGATTTTGCATTAAACCTCTTTTACACGATTCCTAATATTAATACAATTGAGGAATAACATTGTTTTAATGCCAATTTACTTTTAACTTTAGAATCTTTAAGTTTATATATATAGTGTACATATGTTGAATGATCTAAAATTCACTTAGTTCGAAAACAAGTTTTTCTAATACTTGTGCAATAGCTGCAAAGCAAGATAATAATAATTTATTTACTAATGAAACTGCACTCCGTAAAATAAAATATTGATTATATTATCTCCTAATATATTCAATGTTAGGAGACGGGTGTTGGCGGACATTTACTCAAGTGTTTTGTAAAATTTTACTACATAAATTGCTTTCCACTCAAAATTTATAAAGAATCTTGTATTAGAGAAAATGCTTCATTCAGGATGAGTTCTTTGGTACTCTACTTTGGTTATAAATCCCATCACTTCACGGAGCTACAATTTTGGCCTAACTTAATTTGACAGTTTGGCATCATCATTCTTACTTGAGTAAAAGACAAAACATCGCATTTATTAATTATTGTACACTGAACAGGAATTGGTTTGTTCCCCTTGAAAAGTCAACTAATTTCCGATCAATAGCAATAATTACTTATTTTTTATTTCCTTTTCAAAGTTTCACATTTTGTTATTCATGATTTAAATTCAAGTCCTCGTAAAACGTTTTTTTCATACTTTACATTCAAGTTACTTTAAAATACAATTTTCGGAATTAAACTTCCTACATATGGGTTCAATCTTTTTGGATACATCTACTAAATTTATATTAGGAGATAATATAATCAATATTTCATTAGTAAATAAATTACAATGTATATATAATAGAATTCGTCATCTTTTAAGTTTTTAAGGGCCCTCTTCCTATATGGTGCTGTGACACAGCTCCGTATATGATGTAGAAAAGAAGCCCTTGGAAGCACATGAAACAGTTAAATTCAGTATTTGCAAAAGTTAATATTCCATCATTCGATTATGTAATAGTAACTTCGTGACTTATCCCAGTTCAGGCATAGGAGTCAGCAGAAAATAGGAAAAGTTCATTTGTATTTCTTAGTCTCTTACCTGAAAATTATTAAAGACAATCCCCTGAAGGAAAGGTTTCTCCCTTTGCAATCCCAATTCAAAAGGGGGTGGAAGTGGAAATTAATTTTAACTATTTATTATAATGTAATTATTTTGTATATTAATTTATTTCTATATAATTTGTTATTATGATCGAATAATTAATAGATACACTTTCTAAGTATAAATAATGAAGTAACTAGGCAAGATTCTGGTAGTTAATTTCAAATGACCTTTGCAAGTTAAGAGGAAATGTGGTATATTATTTGCAGTTCAAAATTTTCATAATATGTCATTCTGAAGCATTTAATTTTGTTCATATATTGAATCTGTTACTAGCACTTCCATTAAACCCAAGTCCAAAAATCAGGACTAATATTAAGCTTGAAATTGAATTTATTAATGTGAATGATTTTTACAATTTAATATAACATGTATTACGTTGGTTCACTATAAACGGCTTATCACTTTTCAAATTGTTGCCACCAAATAATTTCACCTGTATTATTTTTAAAGAAATTAAATAAGGAAGAATTTGCATAAATGTATGTATGATTCTCGCACTGTGACGAAACAATGTTACATAGAATCTTTTAATGCATGGTTCTCACAATGTAAAAAATGACGGTGCAGCCGCGCCAGAAGGCAGGGCGCAGGGTATAGGGACGGAAAAATTTTGGATTTAGAAGTAAGGAATATCCCAAAATGGCAAAGTTAAAGGCGGATCGATTTTTTTCCTCTTTTTTAAAATTAATAATCTGCAGGAGGAAATCATTCGTAAGTATCAATTGCTAACTCCAGAATTTATGCTTTCCTTTCTTAAGGACACAAAATCATTGACGTAAGTTGAGCAGTCGTGGCATGAAAGGACTTTGCTCCACCCACATGTCGAAATGGTATCCTTGTCCAGGAAATGCAAAGAATTTATGACACCACATTTAGAATAGAGAGATTTCCAGTTTCTTAGGGATCTTTGAATGAATTCAAGGTCAGAGAAAAAAGGGGCAAGTTTTATGCGACAGGCTAAGAACACAAAGTTTCATTCTGGTTGCTTAAACATTAAGCAGCAAATATTCCAGTTAATTGTTTTTCATTAAATTTATCGAAATTCATAACTTCTTCACTCATGGGGAAAGGAAATGGAATGGATGAATATTTTTACTTGAAATAATGAGTAAATCAATATTTGTCCAATTTTTCATATCAAAATTTTCAAAATATTCTCACGTTGCAGATAAAGTGCACGTTAAGAATTCTTTAAAATTCCTAAACAAGAATTAAATCTGAAGGCATAGAACTTGTAAAATATATCTTATTTACGAAGCATATTTTAATGCTTGAGGAT